ATTTTGCGGTTCAAAGTTTTTTTCTATATATTATAATCTTTAAAAAAGAGGGACGAAAGATACCAGAGGGACAGTCAAACTCATAGATCGAAAACAAACTGACAACGTCATGGCCAAAAATAAAAAGACAAACAGACAAATAATAGTACAGATGACACAACATAGAAAACTAAAGACTAAGCAACACGAACCCCACCAAAAACTGGGGGTGATCTCAGCTGCTCCGGAAGGGTAAGCAGATCCTGCTCCACATGTGGCACCCGTCGTGTTGCTTATGTTATTACAAATCCGGTAAATAGTCTAATTCTGTAAGTCACATTCGTAAAAAGGGAAGGGTATTGTAGTTACGACATAAGGAACATATCCGATATCATCTGTGAAACGGTTATTCCATAACGGTCAACCAACTCGTGATGGCGTCCGTAAAATTTACGAAGGGATGACTTCAACTTCACCATTTGGAACTCTTGGTTTAATAGCTTCCTTGTGAGCAGCAATCCTCTATCAAGAAAATCATGATAGGAATCACAAGCCCGGGAATATCGTATCAATTGGGAGATATATACTCCGAATGCAGGCGCTGCTGGAATGTTGCTACATAGAAATGGAAAGTTCACAATTGGGAAGCTGAAATCATCTCTTTTGTCGTAAAGTTTTGTTTTCAACCGACCCTCATTGTCAATTTCTAGATGTAAGTCAAGATATGAGGCAGACTTAACTGTATCTGTAGTATCCTTTATCTCTAATTCGATGGGATAGATTCGTTCAACATAGTCACCAAATTTTGTATTATTTAGTGAGAGAACATCATCTATATACTAGTAGCGGAACGTAGAGTTAAAGGATATTGCTAACTTCTTATCTTTCTTTCTAAGAAGTTCCTGTATGAAGTCAGCCTCATAATATTAAAGAAACAAGTCGGCAAGAAGAGGGGCACATTTGGTTCCTATGGGAATTCCGACAGTCTGTCAAAAAACGCGTCCTCCAAACGTAACAAATATATTGTCAATCAAGAAATCAAGCATCTTGATAATGTCAGTTTCAGAGAATTTTTTGTTTGAATCAGAGTGATTCTTTACAAAGTAGGATGTATTCCTCCCCAAGGCAAGATACTTGTATCTACGTTCGCCATTCTTTATAAGTTAGTTAGTATAACTCTTTGAAGTTGAGGCATATAAATGTTGAAAATGTTTTTGCCTTTGAAAAAAAGTAGTGATGAATATGAACTTTCCATTCTAGGATATAACTTGTTATGAAACTTCACAGTAAAAGTGGCACAGTTTTAGCCGTAAAAGGAGTTCCTATGGAAAATGCATTAGTTATATTTACAGAAGTAAAACCTATAATAGTTGTTTACATCTACGGCATTTCGACTCAAATGCATATTTGTATCAATGGAAATCATACCACATCTACATGGTATTATATACATGAACAAGTGGTGGGGTTGACATAGTTTTTTTTTTAAATTCCACGTGTTTTATACGTATATAAAGCTAGAATTTGTGTCTTTAGTATGTTAGTAAAATCCGTCATTTAATAAGGTATTTCCCCGTCCTTGTTTACTGCAAGCTAACATTTTACCCATACACATGACAAGGTAACAAGACATTACATCTATTCTTGATTTATTTTAAATCCTATTGTGTTATATTTTTACTCTATGAGATGTTGCTTATTGATTCAATGATACTTATGTAAAATATAATGATAAATGTTTCATGCCTACCAAGGACCAAAATGTTTTAATATACATCAAATTTTAGGTCTACCGCTTGATAAGGATGGAAAATGTTAATTGTCAAAGCACAAGGAGGGCATGCTGGTTAAGTGAGAAAATTTGGGTTAACAGTAGGTCACGTATTGCTCCATCTACATGTGAATGTTGTGCTGTAGGGAGAATAATATAAAGTAAAGAGTTCCATAGTTTAAACTTTAAAATTCTAACCGAACGTGATAGCAGTTTTTATTTGCATAGTTTGCTATAATCATATGTTGCTAGCGCATTTCTTTTAATACAAAATTATTGTAGTTTAATTGCTGCATAAAAGACATGCCTATTTTCGTTTCGTAAGCATGCCGTTTTAACAACGTATGTACTTTTTTTTATATGTACACGGGAACAAGTAGTCAGACGTTTCATGAATACTGGAATGTCTGCTCACTGTAGTCTTACCAATGCAAAAATTATGTAAGATTTCATGGAAATTTTCGTTTCCCAAAACACCAATCTAATTAAAATTAAATCCCAGCATTCGTTCATTTTTTTTTCCTGCTTGGTTGGTCCCACGTATGTACTCTAAGAAGATTGCCTAAAACTGCGGCTGGGGAGGTTACATCAATACAAATACTTTGTCGATGACACAATATATATTAATAACTAAAGTTAAAATCATCAACATTTCATATTTAATACATTAGTCCTTTGTCCTCCTACGTTTGTGGCTAATGTACCCGCCACATTCTTTATGTATCCGTCTCAATATTGGAAATTGTAATTGAGTGGACATCGTTGGTTCATGTCTGTCATATTTGTGTTCGTAATGTCGTTAATTATCTCGTTTGAGATGTTTCACAGATAGACGTCGGTGCTTCTATGGCAGAATATACGGCACTGGTTTTTGCATTGTTGAAGGTCGTATGGTGACTTTTAATTGCTTTTAGTTTTCGTCATTTAATCTCTGGTGGATAGTTGTCTCGTTGTCATGCGTAACCTTATTTTTATAAAAATCATTTCAATTTTGATGTCATGGGTTTCATACATACAATCTGTTGATTCGTATCTTAAAACAATAAGAATAAACTCTGATGATATCAAGCAGATTAAAACATTACAAAGGACAAACTAAAGATACATGTTATTATCTATTAATTTGATACTTGAATGTTATACAAGAAAGACAACTCGTGTCGCCTTATATGACATATTTTTCTTAAAGTCGTTATTCTTCCTAAAATGTGAACTAAAGCGCCCTGCAGAATCATTTATCAGTGATGGAAATAATAGTGACAAAAACAAAAGGCTGACAATGTTAAAAAATACGGATTTTTGTATAAGGTAGTCGTGTTTGTGTATTGATGTCTAATTATTACTCTAATAGAAAAAAGTACATATGATCAAATTAAGAAAAATAACACAATTATACAAAACAAAAACTTCTTAATGCCATTTTATCGCTTTTCATTTCATTTTACATATTCATTGAAAAATCTTGATAAGAATACATAGTTGTACATAGTGTTTCTTTTCATATTGATATTTTTTTTAGAATTTTTTGGGGGGTAGTTAATCGTGTATGACAAAACACTTATCATCATGTAACATATATTTCATTGGCATTGGTTTTGCGTAAGTTAATGAATGATTTACGGTCGTCTACTAGACTAAATTTAATTAAAAGTCAAATTTAAACTTTTAGCTAAAAGGTGATCATTTGTTCAGTAGATGAATTTTTCGTTGATTTAATCAAGTTTTGTTGCTAACATACGATCAGTAGTTGAATTCGAAAAATGTTGTGTATCATGTGCGCTTACATATCTTATTATACTAAATGTCTATAACTAATTGAAATGAGCAACCTATCCGAGTCCCTCATAAAGCAGTCAGAACCGATCATTTTCTTTTCAAATAAAATGTCTGTGTTGTCATATAGGAACAATAACACGTTTTCAGGATGTTTGCATTCTTCTGATTTTATATATTTAATTTTGTACGCAAACAATTCGGGTACTGATGATTTTTTAAGCGTTTAGTCACCTTAGTACCATATATTACGCTTTTATATCACTATAAAATTAATTCTCGTTGATCACGTGGTGGTTTTTGTTTGGTGCGGAAGTCAATGTTCCATCTCAGGCATGGTTAAACCAAAGACTTGAAAATTGGTATTAATCAATTCATATATCGGTCCCTCCCATCTTAAAAAGCAGCTTAATGTAAACCATTCTCATACACCTAAGCCGTTGTGAGAAAAATGTATACAGTTGGACCTCTGTGTAAACGTTCTGAAGTTTGAATCCAGTATTGTGGTTGAGTTATAGTTTAATTGAGACTATCCATAGTTTTATGATGGATTAAAAATTGTAGATATTATGTTTCACCCTCATTATGAAAAGTTACTTTCGACATGATGTACTTGTCAGCAGTAAACAGGGTTAACCAGTTATGCTGGCAAACAGTATACATGTAATTTACATAAATTCTCAATATATAAGGTCATGCACTTTTCAGACTGTTTATGACGGCATGCTTACGAATCTCAATAAATATGTTTGTTGTGTACTGATTGATATTGTATGCAGAGAAACCTATGTATCAGTTGCAATTGTCTTTGAATTATCTTTCACTAACTGCACATGCATGTAGTCTAAGATCGGTCAATTGTGACTATTTCCTTCTTTTGAAATTAATGTTTGTGCATTGTGTCAGGCGTAACCCAACATTTTCTACAGAAAATGCCTGTACCAAAAGAGGGACGAAAAATACCAGAGGGACAGTCAAACTCATAGATCGGAAACAAACGCCATGGCCAAAAATAAATTAAACAAACAGACAAACAATAGCACAGATGACACAACATAGAAAACTAAAGACTAAGCAACATGAACCCCACCAAAAACTGGGGGTGATCTCAGGTGCTCAGGAAGGGTAAGTAGATCCTGCTCCACATGTGGCACCAAGTCCGGAATACGACAGTTGTTTTTTACTCGTTCCATTGGTTGATTTTGATTTTGTCAGTTTTTAAGGTCTTCGCCCTTTTTTACCTTGGAGTTTTTTTATTAATCCTTTTTATCATATAATTGTCAATTGTCGCTGAACAGGTTTTGTTTTTTGGGTTTTGTTTTGCTGATTGAAGTGGTTCTATTTCTGGATAATTGTTAAGTTTAACAAATGGCATGAAAGATATAATTTAAAATTTGAACGAAAAACTTACCCAAAACTACTTATTTAAAGGAAAAAAACCACAATTTGGGTATGATCGTTCTTGATTGAGGTAAATCTTGAAAAGCGCTTCGAAGGCAACAAATTGAAGTATGTTAATTTCATGTTTAACCTACAAGGCTTTTTCAAAGGAATTTGATAACGAATACCAGTAATTTTATTTGCAGTAATTAGTTGTGCATTCCACGTTATGTTATACAATGATGAATAGTGATACGACACTGATCTTGCCTATACTAGTAAAAACAATAGCTGTTAAAACTAAATTGACGATTAACTGAAACATGTTTTGTATTTAATGTTCTTCCTCCATCATTCTGCAGCACTCAATGTTATTGTGAAACAAAGGGTTACCAAAATATATAAAACTGTAAATACCACAAAAAAGAAATTATCAAAGAATTCTGCTAGTTCCTTGTTGCTGTAATGTGTATACGGTTTAATATTGTCCAAATTACTGTTTTTTTCGTTCCAGTTAGACCTGTCGGTCGCTGGGTTATTTTCAGTAACCGCACTTTTATCAAGATGATTTATACTAGCGGAGCTGCATCGTGACTTCTGAAAGTTTCTAACCAAAGAGTGAATCCAGTTTGGGGCAATGTAGTGGTCTGGTTTATGATAGAGTCTTATGATTAATATCGTAATGATAATCACAACAGAGGCCAATCCTAATGTAACGGTAAGAAATACCACTGAAAAAGAAAAAAATTAAAAGATTAATATTTTATATGATAAATAGATCACAATTTCTCTTATCAACATCGGAGTACTTGACTTTATTTCCATTTTGATAAAGAAACTGCATAATGAGGTAACATGGATGAGCTGCTATACAATATTATACCTTTCCAAAAACGAGTTACCATATATTCACTCTACTTAATCCTGTCGAAAACAAAGTCACGCTTCATTGGGGACATTAATCCGCAATAAAACATGATTGTTTAATTCATAAATTTATTCAGATTAGGACAATGACCATCGATTCTAAGTTGTTTCCATGAGAATGTTTGCGAATATTTTACATACATTAACACGTATATAGACATGTAGCAAAGTTTTTTTCTTCAAATATCAAATACAGTGACTTTCACACGTACAATGCAGTTTATTAATTTAAGCCATTCTGAATGACAAAAAACATAATTTAAGTGCAAAGGAGGTAGAAGATACCAAGTGGACAGGCGTCCAATCAAAACTGACAACACCATCATTGCGACTTTTGAAATACTTTAAGTTAAAAGGATATCGAAGTTACCAAAAGGATATTAGAAAGTCAAATGAAAACAGACAACACCACCATGATCATGGCCAAAATGAAAAACAACAAAAATACAATACACAGAAAATAAAAGATTGATCGTAAAGAACCCCAAAAATAAAATAAGGATGTGCAGGTGCCCTGGATTGAGTAAGCAGTTCCTGTTCCGCTATTGGCATCCATCGTGTTGCTCAAGGCATACATACACTTTGTGACAAGTTGCTTTTAGTTATTTCAAAATCGGCAAAACGAAGACTAGATTGTGGCTACGCCAAGAGGAACATTCTTTGTATCCATGGTTATCTAGGACACAGACATTCAAAATGGTCAACTAAGACAAAACCTTTGGAAGGGAAGAATTCAATGTAATGATTAAAATTTGGAACCCAATACATTGCATATTGGGAAAAAAATTATAGGAAACTTTAGCCCTTGCATACCGTTTAAAATGTTTGATATATATTCCATATGCCAGGACTACTTGATGTTGCTACACAGAAATGGACTGATCTCTAGTGGAAAATTAAATACATCAATTCTGTCCTAGAGTTTACTTCTTATCCGACCTTCATTGTCTTTTTCTAGATGTAAAATCTCCAGTAAGACTTAAGCCTAAATTTAGTTGTTTAAAATGGTAATTATTTTGAAGGAACTTTCGTTGAACAGTTTACAGGCAAAGCAATACAGTGTTGTTTGTAAGGATGCTTTTGTTATTTAGATATCAAGCAGAGTGAAGGAATGATCAGTTTTTTGTCTTTCAATTGGATAAAATTCCAAAAACATAAACCAGATTAATGAATGTTTAGCCTTTCCTCCTTATTTAGTGTCGTGGGTGTATATGTTTGGTTTCCTAGTGATTCTTTGACTTCTAATGTTAATTGATTGACATTTGCTGTTAAAATTTTGTTGCATTTTACCAATTGTTCTACATTAAGGCATGACGGTTACGGAGTTTGTCATGTGACTAGCATAATCTACTGAAACTGTATAGTATACAGCCTTAAGATAATTGTAGAAAAGTTTGGTAGAGATTGACCTGGTGTTATCAGAGGAGAAAAAGTGGAAAACCTTAAAGACGAAGACATTCGATGACAGACGCCAATTGATGCCAAAAGCTCACATGTACCGTTGTTCCAAATGAGTTAAACATGTTCAATTTACCTAAAACTGAAGTATGTTTTGATGTTGTAGGCATATTGTCTGCAAATAACGTCAATAAAACAGCCAGAGCAAGCAAAACTGTCAAAATATATCCGACCTTTTCTCCAGATTCAACAGGTAGAATAAATGTAACGGATGTTAATACGGCAGTAATAATGACTGGAAATATAACACTCATTATGTAATGACCCGGAAGCCTCTCAAACACTATTCGGAACAAAAGTTCCGAATATGCCAGGCCGTCTTCAATTAATTCTGATGAGTGCTGAGAAGTTGTTACAAGGTCAAATTCTCCATTTGTTCTGTAGTCTTGTAAATTCAAATTCGTTTTCAGGAATATTAATTTAACAGCATCTGTATGAAATCCCCAGCTAGCTACTTCTATGTCACAAGTTTGGCTGTCATATGGGAAGTACGTGACATCCATGTCACATGACGTTGATAAAACGGCGGGTAGTTCCCATCGTACTTCTCCGTCATATTGTATTCGGACTGTCGTATCATCACCAAGATTACTTAATTCTGTAATACTGAAATAAAATTATGGAAACATAATTATGAGTAATTGTAATAATGCCTTACATAGACAAGAAAATAAAGAATAGATTTAAGATTATATTATAGGTTTTTGTGTACGTACACGTATATGATTAACATCTACGTACTTGTAATAGGCAACTCTTATTTTTATTTTCTGTTTAAATTCTGAGTTTTAATCTGTTAAGTTTCATGTATTTGTTAAAAACAACACAATACATACGAATTCTGCACAATCAATTCAGGATGCCAAACTATGTCTTCGGTTGCATATATATGTTCAATATTTCCATAAGATGATGTTGTCCAGGCCAAGCGGCTATCATTCCATACCTAAGAATGAATGGAGCAGTAAGTACATAGCTTCATGAATGCACTTAAGCTAAATATATGAGAAGAACATAACCCGTATCATGCCAACAACTGGTTTTAGAATAAATGTGTTTATTTCCGATGCAAAGACCCTATGAGTGAATCAATATTAATTCCAAAATATGCCATCTTTAATGACCTGACAACAGTATCGTAACTATATCCGTTTATACTGCACTAGATGTACATTGTACGAAAATTGATATATCTTTGGTGATGATCGAAACCAAAATATTTCAAGGTCAAAAATCTTCAAACGATGAATAGCTGATAAAAACCAAAAAGAATCGAATTCAAGCAAGCAAAACCTAGGTAAGGAATCAGAGCTATAAAAGAGGGAGAAACATTCCTTAAAGAGTAATTTTCAAATTTTATAACAGTAAATTTGAATTAAACACTAAAAGTTCACCTACACAAGGGGTAAATTAAATGAACATTTAGAACGAGAATACGGTAGTTTAATGTGATATGAATATGCTTTGTATTAGACCGACACGCTTATTCTGATTTTAACGTGCTAGTTTACAAAAATTGTTTGCAGGAGGACAAGTCACCTTACCAATACACATTATTCAGACTCCGGGTTGACCAGTCTTTGCTCTTACTCCTAAATGCAAAGTGCTTGGCGGACATTTAGCGAATATCAATTTTAAAGTCTTTGGTTGACCGGCAGTGGATCGAACCCACGACCTCGAGGCGAGCACGCTTCTGCGAAACGACCGAGTCAGTCATTCTATATAGAAGACGATAACTATAAAAAAAAAAAAAAAATTTACAAAATACTCATTGAAGACACCAGGCGAATACTTTACTAGATATACTGACCACGGTAAACCATCCTGATGTAGACAATGTCTGTGACTTTAGATCCTAAAATAAATTGAACAAGTGAGGTGTAGGGAAAAAATCTATAAAAAAAAACGGCAGATAATATTTGAAAATATATATGCATAAAATGAGCAAAAAGTATGTATAAAAATGACTTTTGCCATACAAAATGACTTTCATGACGTTGTATTATAAAGCAGAATAAGTTTTGACTTATTGACATGCAGTGAAACAAAACTATTTAGAACTCCATTGAATACACTCTTCGTAAAATAAAAACATTTTTCTTTTGTTTCACAACTCACACAAAAGGAAATTATTTACTGGTACTATAGTAAATATAAAAGTAATGAACAAGTGGTAATTTGTTACGGAAAACAATCTTTAAAATTAGATTTCAATTTCTTCATTTTCTTAAAAAAAAACTCTTGGAGCCACTTTATGTTGGGTTATAGAGAACTTCGAAGATGACACTAATTCAGAGTTCAAGTTTCTTCGACTAATGTCGTTAATTTCAAAAATATTTGTATCACCGTTGTGTCATTGAGATTAGTGTGTAACACTGGATGCTTCCAGAAGTATTATAATTGTATTTTATATAAATATAGGCATTTGAAATTGGGAATTAAACTATTTCATATAAGAGTTGAAAGTTAATTTATTTTTCCTAGTTGACGGGAGATAATTCATATATGAACCACATTCCATCGCTCATTTCAAATGCATCTGGTTAATAAGTTTGCTTGATAGGTCGGACACATTTGTTATATAAAACCTAAGTCGCTTCTCCAGATGTGTTTAATCGGACACGAGAGGATCCAGAAAATAAAGGACTAAGAGGGACAATCTATCATATTTTAATTTAAAATAACGAAATTAAATATGTTGTTAGTTTTGTTTTATTTGAATTAGAATTAAACATTTATCATAAATCATATTTTATATAATCATACTAAAATTCAGATAGCGATCTTAGACAGAGTTGGATTCATTGTTTGGTTTCAGAATGACTTGCACGAGCGAATAATAGGTCGTACGGGAGCATTTATACAACTGTAATAGCACCATTTATGACATATGCGTGTCATGTATTGTTTAATTCTTTGTTGAAAATAAAATTTGCAGCGAAGCTGGAATAGAATACCTGTCAAATAATCGTTCGTATTAATTGAATGAATCGAGGTAGTTTGTTTTAACAGCCCACTCCACTACAAAAAGAACGTTTCCCGAAAGTATTGTAAAGTAATTAACAAAATGCATTTATATCACATGGTATTATCAAAATACACATTCAATATGCAGTATCAGTTTATAACATTCAATATGATTAGAAGTGTTTGCTTTTTAATAACAAATCGACAATAAATAGTTATACATGACTACGTCTGTCTATTTGTTTTCATTATATTTGGTAGATACATTTAATACTCACTGATACTTTAAAATGCTGCTAACAGATGATGTGCATTGTATAATGTGGGTCTTGGCAGTTGAAAGGAAACCGATGCCTTGTTGATTAAATTGAATTACTTTTTGTAAATTGTCGATTGTTTGAGATTCTTGAATCTGATCGATGCATTTGGCATAACTTAACGAGCCTATTCATTTGGTATAATAGAAGCTGATATATGATGATCTACATTGTAACAAGCTTGAGTCGATATCCAATATACAGCAAATTTGGTATAATACTTGGAAATATCATGGACATTAATCCCTTTATTTTTCTTAAAGAGGTTAATTTGTATACAGAATTTCAATATATTATATACAAGAAAATGGTACCATCATTATAGTCGTGTTTTAAAGTTTAAATAAACAAACGACAACCCGAAAACTAAAAGACGCAATTATTTTGTACAAGTAACAACAGTATAACTTTGGCTTTTACCAATCAGTCCATTTAGTCAAAAGTAGCGATTTGAAGGACAGTTGCTCGTATGCTTTATAACCGATATGTTAATACCATTTGGAAATTGGATATGAAAAGAAACTGTTTATGTAAAAATTCCTGAAATTTGAACCATGATAGCAAACATCCATTGTAAAAACCAAAAATCCGTGTTATGATGTGGTTATCGATAAGCCTTTCAAAATTTTTAATGTTTTCATATCAAGACCGATGAGTACGCTTTATACTTAGGCAAAAGATGTCCTCAACAGATATAAATATTTTACAAAAATAAAATAAGGTACAGTTTGATAACATCATGCATCGCACAGAGAAGTCATATAACGGAAATAAACTGGCACCGAAAGAAACACATTTTATCAAGGTCTTTCAAAAAATGTTCAATGCTCTCAGTCATTAATATACCGCTTTGAACACAATATTGTCGAGTGACTTCCTTTAAAGTTGGTTTCTAGCCAGCAGCATATGAATATTTGTAGCAGAACAGCTATAAATAGAAATTTGAAAGGTACATGTTTTTGCGATGTTCAATCAAACTTGTTTAGTCCAGCCGTTGTAAAAACTTATATTATCTACGATCTGTTCTAGAAATAAAATGACTTGAAGCGCTATTGGCATTGAGTATCTAAACGTAGTACCTACGTCAAGCAAGACCAACAAAAATGGCTGCTATAGGTTTGCTGATACCAACACAGAATGTCTTTTGAGTTTAAACCCTATTTGTAAGTTTTGAAATCGTATTATATAGCATCACGGTTTTGTATGTGTAATTTTTTTTTTAAATACGGTAACAAGCCAGATAATATATTTATACAAATGATTCCGACGATTATTATCTCATTTCTGTGTATAATAATTGCAAAACTGACATTGTTTTGTGTCAAGAGTTAGGTTTTTTGTGTGCTTTGTGTCGCTCTGGTGATTGAAGCGTTTTCGACTGATGTCTACAGTTTGTTTTTATTCATTGCTGTCACACCATTGTCCAAGAAGGGGGTTAGAAAAAAGCAAAAACCCGACAATATTATTTTTGTTCCTGTCCCAAGTTAGGGACCTGTAATTCAGTGGTTGTTGTTGGGGACTAACTGTAATTTTTGCTTTTTGTTTATTACTTTTTTGCTTAAATCAGACCGTTAGATTGAATTGTTTTACATGTTGTTATGCCGGGGCCTTTCATAGCTTTCTTTACGGTACGGGTTTTGCTTATTGTTGAAGGCCGTAGGGTGATCTTTAGTTGTTTACATCCTCGTCCTGTAGTCTCTGGTGGATATTTGTCTCATTGACAGCATACCAGTCTCCATATTTGTATATTATGTCTCATTTGCTATATAATAATGATAGCTCATCGCAGAAACAAATACGAAAAAAGTTGTAAAGAAGTACCACTTGAGCTTGTTAAGTTTGTGCAATTATCACATATTCTTACAGTAAACAGAAATATTTCTATTATTCTTATTTGAATTGGAAATACAATAGGATAACAAAAATTACAATTTATTTATATGGTGCATTCGAAGCCTTTTCTGTATTTACTTTCATCGGGAATGCTCCCAAACTCCCAATAATGAATCCCAATGATGAAAAATACTAAATTAATAGCTGAGGACATTTATGACCAACAGTACTAATGTCTTACAACAACTGTTTAATCAGCTGTGTTTCTCAATTTGCCATTTCGAGGTTTTTTGTTGATAACATATGGTATTTGTTTTACTCATCAAAGGAAGGTCGTACGTGATGTGTAGTTATTCACATTCGAGTTTAACTTATTTGATCTTTAATTTGTTGGATATTTGTCTCATTGGCAGTCATGCAATATGCGTGGCACTTTCATGTAGTTTTAATGTTAAGATGAAATGGAAAGACACATGCTCTTCTAATTTCAATAGCAGGTGCTTTGATAAAACATTTGAAAAAAAAAAGGTTATATAAATATGCAAGCAATACTAATTGAAATAAACACCAGAACTTCATTACTCAATAGATACTATGATATACACCTGCGTTTTGTTTATAATTAATTTTTCCCGTCTTATACTAAATGGAGATTTTCAAAGTAATCAATAATGCTGCAGTTTGATTTATTATGGCAACTGCTGTTACTCTTCTGGTACAATGTATCTTCTATCCTGTTTTCAGAATAGGTTACATGGATATGTTGTTTGGAACATTTAGTGTTGAAGACAGATCTTTGATAATTTCTGTTTGATTAATTAATAGTTTTTATAGATCCTAGATGATTTACATCTTCATGTATATTGACCAGGTATAAAACCTGTCTATTGTTGAAGGCTGTATTTTACCCACTAGATGATTTCGTTACATTTATGTCTTTGGGTTGTTGTCTCATTGATGAACACAAATGTATATCCCACCCACATATTCTCTACAAATGAAGCTAAACATGTGCACAAACCAAAGCAAAGATAAAAGGTAGAATGATTGAATAATGACGTATAAGGTATTAATCGTTTTATCAATTTAAAGCAGTTTTTTAGCAAAATAATGCGTTCTTGATTTGTACGTTTTGAATGATTTCAAAGCAAAAACACAGATCATTACATTTTAAATAGTTGTTAACAACGATTGACATCTAAAACCATAAAAGGACATATTAAACACTTGATCACATTTAATTGAACATACATGACACACTGCAAAACCATTATTTGAAACAACATTTAAAATATTAACTGATGTCTTTTATCTGCAAAACGCTGATTGTGGTGAACAATGATTTATGTATTTGTGCAAAGACATACAAACAGTATAAAAACACCATATAAAGTTAATCACAAGATTTGAAATCGCCGGGTTTGAAACATGCATTTCAACATTAGGACAATGATTTTTTTTTCATGTAAATTTAATCTGTAAAATTAGTTAATGGATGTTATATGACGTGAATCATTGTTTGTCAGCGACCACAAAAAGAGCATAATCTATTCCAATCAAATTTGGAAAAAGCTCGTTCATCTTTATTGTGGGATTAAATTGTAAAAGTAGACTGTTGTGCTGGACAAGCTTTACTCAGATGATGGGTTTTCAACGGTATATTCATACCGATTATAATATATTGCACTTTCACATGAAAGTGATGGCAGATCTTGCAGCTTCAGACAGAACTGTCATTTACATATTAAATACATTTAAATGATTGTTGCGTGTCTGCTAAACCACACTACATGTAAATTCATTTTCTTTGCAAAGTTCTTTTAATGTCGATGTTTTCAATCAGTATACCTGCAGTTGGAATAGAGCAAACGGATGGATCATTTATCAATTACAAATACATTAGATTAATGATGCTACGTAAAGTTTAAATTTCATTTTGAATTATGTTATTCTAATGATTTACGTTACATAACAACGTATAAATGACTCTTAAAAATCCGTAATCAAGGATTTCGATTACTGCGCTATTGGTCCTTAATTTGAAATGATTTCGAAATTTTAAAATAGCAAATTTGAATAAAACAATATCTGCATTTTCATACCAGTACCATTTTTGGCATTTCAAAAACATATAAGTGTATCCGGTAAGAAGAATAAGAATCTACATTGCAAAAACCGTTAAGATGCGGACAATATACACGTCCGGACTTATTAAATTAAAAAGACCCTTACCTCCCCCGCCCCCTGAAAAAAAATATGTACCATGTTTTTATTTATTCTTGTATTCCTGGCTTCTCTAACCTTAAACCTTAACTACATGGACTGCAGAATAAAAATAAACACACACATTGACACTTATTAAGAGTCAAATAGACAAGTGCGACCAAATTTCCTTTTTTTATCATTTCCTATTTCAAATAAAAATTTTAAAAACCTTGATTTTTAACAAAACAGTTTTTTTTAAGTTCATTGGTTTCAAGAATCGTACAAAGTTGAATTTTCTTGATGGTGAAGACCCATTTATGTCTAAACTTTCTATTACATGAAATCCCGCATGACTTTGATTGAAGCTTTGATTTTGATTTCCGTTTTTTAAGTTATTACTGTATAAACTGAATAAACTCATCGTTGATACAAGGATTAAATTATTGTACGCCAGACGCGCGTTTCGTCTACAGTGACGCTTGATTAAAAAAATTAAAAAAAACCAAACAAAATACGAAGTTGAAGAGCATCAAGAACCCAAATTTCCGAAAGGTTTTCAATGTCTTTTAGTGTATGTGGTAACGAGTCGTTTTGAACTGATTTCTGTTCGCACAGGGTCGTCTTATCTGCATCGATTCGCTCTTATAATAATAATTTTAGTAAATTGTTTCGCTCAGACTTTCAAAATATATTTTCTATATTTTGTTTTATTAAAACATGTATAATTACCCAAATTTAAGACTTTCTTAGATTAATTTTAACTTTAGATAGGTTTTGATAAAGTATTGAGATTGTAAAATTCCAGTGTTTAAAACTAATTTAGGTCATTATTTGCGCCTTAACATGATCGTACGGTAAAACTTTATACAGAAATAAAAAATAAAAGCTCAAATCTAGGTTAAGCCCATAAAATCATCCATAATAAGTGTCTCTAACGTTTATTTTTGAAGTTTCCGTTTTGTGTTTGATTTTCTATGCAGCAAAAGAAACTGATACCAACGAATGTTGATTTTTTTATTAAGTACACGGCATATAGTTATTGCTGTTGACTCTCAAACATTTTTTAAAAGATTGATTGAAATTCAAACCGAATCGTGAGGTCTTAATTGTTTAACCATGATTAGTTATTAATTATGTTGATTGATCCGAGAGTAATTTTGCACTTAACACTTTTGATAATGTTTTGCTAATTTCTCATCATGCATGTAAACGTATTGATACAGTTACATCTTGATTTAGGTATCAATTCGCCGTTTCAGAATCTAATGCATTCTGGGTTATGTTCTCAAAAGTTTACACCAAAACGTCGTGATTTATTAAACACGTCCTCAGCCATATAAATTCAACCAATGACGTGACGTTATTTTCATTTAGAGGGTACAGCCATAGTCCACAGATCCTGAAACGGCCAAATTCCAATATATTGGAGGGACACCTTAAGTGCATGTACTTAGCTTTTATTGGAAAAAAAAACATTAATACCATGGTCTGTACGTATCTCAGGTATCGCATTTAACTCTTAGAAGTGGAAAATTTACCTAACACTTGATTAACTAAACAATAATATACATTTACCGTAACGAAGTCGTTTGTCTTTCAATATAGGCATATTTAAACATTATATCTTTATTAAACTACTAAATAACAATTGTGAGAAAGAATTAAGCCAGAGGAACTCATTAAACCATTTAGACTTTTGTTCCTACTGCAGGGTTATTGTTATAACATTAGAGAATATTGTCCCGAGTACGATGTTATATAACAATCTATAACAGTGGCGGATCCAGGGGGAAAGGGGGGGGGGGGGGTTCCGGGGGTTGAAACCCCCCTTTTTTGACGGTCAATGCATTTGAATGGGGACATATAGTTGAACCCCCCCCCCCCCTTTATCCTGGGTAAGGAACCCCCACCCCCCTTTTATAAATGGCTGGATCCGCCCCTGTATAAAATTGATTTTCTAAGAGAAAAAAAAACCCACAAGTTTGGGTTCAATTATCTTTCTCTCCGTATAACAAACCATAAAAGATGACAAAACTTATAGTCATGGTAACTGCCGTTTACATCGCTATTTTCAAGAGATAAAAGTGCTAGTGCTAAACAGGCAAATTTTGCACTGACCACTCATCTTTAGTGTGGGAGTGGAATTCTTTTAAAATAAATTGTGAAATTCTTAATTTCTTGAAGACAAACTGTTTCAGAAAGGAAGTGAAAAAATTAGTTTCTACCGAAAACATAAAAATACCATTGATTGTTTTATGCCCCCCCCCCTTATGTTGTTGAAACAAATGACTCCCCCTCCCCCCCCCAAAAAAGAGGAAAAAACGTAAACTAACAAACAAAAGATAAATGGTCAGTGCCAAACTTTTAGTAACATTTGATAGGGAATATTGAGGTTACTATATACATTAGTTATTTTCTCGACACCGTGAAGTCAGAATAATTGATACCGCCTTCTTTTGACGAATAACGATTGGTGACGTCGTTGGGATTAAGATGAAACAATCGGTAGAACCCTCAGTTGAAAAGCAGATCAGTTTTTGACCCCAAGTCTATCTGAAAGAATAGAGTTACGTAACCGAGAGAATTCAGTAAAACTACGAATGAAACAAATATCATTGCTTGGGAATAACATTGATATAATGTCACAACATAAAATCGATGTGATTAGGAAAATCTGCACAAGATTACAAGGTTAATTAACACTAAATCAAATCAGCTTGTTAGATTTACAATGCAAATAATGACACAATATCGAGCTTGGCGACTTTGATCAGACAAATTCCATACATTGGTAAAATGTGGTTTGTGTAACATAGATTTATTTATCATCTTCAAATATGTTCTCCTTATACTATATTGAGAGAGAAAAAAATGTATTGCAGTCTGACAATTTATTCAATCTCTAATTATATGTGAGCACAAAGTATGTTGGAAATTCAGACCCCTCGAACAAATTACAAACTCATCATAGTTACTAGGATTTAGATTGTGTACGCCAGATGTGCGTTTCGTCTTCAAAAGACTAATCAGTGACGCTCGAATTAAAAAAAAAAGCCAAATAAAGTACGAATCGGATGCTCAAAAGCATTGACGACCCAAAATTCCGGGCGGTTTTGCCAAATACAGCTAAGGTAATTTTTCTAGGGTAGAAAACTGTTATTCGAAAAGATTTGTAAACAGTTAATTAAAAGAGGGAGAAGATTCCAAGCGGCAATCAAACATCAGAAGTCGTAAAAGCAGACAAAATCCTGGCGAGAAAAAACACTGCCCACAAAACGCCAAACAGATAACGAAAGACAAAGCAACACAAATCCCACTAACAATCCGTATGACTTGAAAAAAGCGTCTGCTTCTATTCATATATCTTCAGTGAAACGAGTCACAACTACAATGTACTTACATTTTAACTATCAAGCATTTGACTTTCGAAAAAAAGACTTTGGAAATGTGTGAAATGAATATTAACTGAAAAGTTAGGCAACACATTTTTTTTCAATTGTTTGGAATTTCGACGTTCATACTATTTATTTCTTTCCAATAACTGTTTGCAAAATTTATCCCATCAAACATGTTATTGACTTATAAACATATTACATTTGTACGTGATGTGTGCATGCAACATAAAATTGCCAACGATCTATTAATAACTAGGCCAACACAAATACTACTAAGTTGAAAATTATACAATGATCGATTGGTAATTGACTTATTTAGCGTCCAGTGGCAAGTATTAAATTGAATTTGAAAGGATTTGGTTATGCACATGTGAGGGAAAGAATGCACGACCTTTCGCATTTGAGACGAGAATTCTATATCACAAGGCTACCACAAGAACACCAAAGCAGTTATTATAAATAATACTATGAAAAGGAAATTAGCCACGTAAATGTGCACAGAAACACTTGTACATGTAATAGCCCCCGAAGACATTTTTTTTCTAATCAAATATAGAAATCAGTTTTTAGGTCAAATTATCAACAATAACGACATTATATGCCAGATAATATTAATAATGACTGATTCCTGGGATAGATGTATATATATCATTTTGATCATCATATCTGTATTTTTTGTTCAGCTTTCCTTTTTATGGATAATTTGAACATTAATGGAAACAAAATCTGAATATACTTACCAATGAATTAACAGTCAGCAAGTTGTATTCTACACTAACATTAACCGGATAGTCTGGCAGTACCAATGTATTGTAACCAGACTGGTTAAATAACAAGTTGTGAATATTATTTGCATCACTAACACTGTACGCTGTCGAAAGCTTCAATAAATCTAAAACAAACATATTTACAACTATAATATTTAAGAAACTGAAATGTATCGTGTATTCAATTTCATTATATGTGAAAACTGCATTGCCTTGTATTATATCTTTTGTTGACTAGTATATGTATGTACATGAGTGTATGTGGTAAATTTATGTTTTGTAAGACATGTTTGATCCGATCTTCCTTGTTGGTGTTTGTTATTATATTTTTTTCAGTTGCTTTGATCGTGACAGTCTTCGCTAATCTTTTAGTTTTTGATTGAGCTGGTATTTAAATTTAGTTAAAAAGACATTAATTGCAGAATCTTTCTCTTCTTTTTTTGATGTAAGTAGAATCTAGTAAGACCATGTATACTGGTATGTATTATTCTTGCGCCTATCCCAAATCAGGAACCTCTAGCCTTTTGTGTGTGTTTTTTTTTTTTCATTTTGGTTCATTTGTTTGTCTAGTGTGGCGTCCATTTCGCTGGACTAGTATACATGATAGTTTCGGGGTCACCTGACGGGATTTTCGTGCTGTGTTGACGACCCATAAGTGGTCTAGATCTGTTTCAGCTCTTTAGTCGGGTTGTTGTCTCTTTGACACATTCCCCGTTTCCATTCTCTATTCTATAATGACACAAATATGTACTGTAAGATCTATTTGGGATGGTGTTGAATGTGAGCTGCTATGTCGTTGGTTATCTTCTTTTTTCTAAAAACCATTTGTTACTGTAAAATTGACACTGAGTCTTGAAGGTCACAACAATGGTTAAGTTTCAAAGATTGTCTTCATTCTTATATGGCACCATTTACGTGCATTAATCGACGTCTTCAAAACTAAATTTGTGTAAAATACATGAGATATCTTGTCGATCTGTTGAAAATTCACTTTTAAAATCTTAGTTCCTGTTTCTTTTACTACTATAAGTTATATTCCAAACGGGTTAACTCCCCTTGGTCGATCTCCTCTATTCGCGTTAATGTCATCGTAGGAAAAATGTAGTATATTTATCTTCATAGGCGACAATACTAACATTTTCTGAACTTGCTACTTTTTAAATAAAAACCAGGACAAGACAATTATATGTGACATTAATACTGTTTTATCATGTTTTAGAAATTGAACTCGAAAAGTAGCATGGCCATCTTTTTATTGAGCTTGTTAATAGTATCCATAGCAATCATCCTTTTATTTATATATCAAATGGGTGAAAATCCAGAAAGCTTTACGAATAATTTCACTGAATAAATGTTTGTGTTTTGTTTTTTTGTTTATTTTGGAGGGGGAGTATTACATTGTAACACCTATATTAACCCCTAAACCACACATTTAACTTTTTATGTGTTATTATGTGAATCTTATTGTATGTTTGTATGTGGTGAGACTATAATAAAATATTGAATCTGTATCTGTATCACATTAATGGGCATGTCCCAATTCATTTTCCTAATCATTGCTTTTCATTTTGAATATCTCAATTTAATCTTGTGTGGCTGTTTAAATGATGTATCTTTGATTGGGCTCTGTTAAATCTTTTTACAACTTTTACTATAATGGACGATTAATAGCTTATAAAAATAACACATTGACATGTATAAATAACTGTCTGTCGTTAACCCCCCCCCCCCCCCCCCCCCCCCCCCCAAACCCCCCAAACCCCCCAACCCCATCCCACCCCCATTGCTGTCTCGTTGATGTATGACACACATATCTTCTTTTATTCGTGTCTCAAAGTACTAAACATGTCAGATATCTATTACCGCTATGGTCACCTGAGTGTGGATATATAACAATTAAATGTACCAATTTCAAGTGCAATAGCAATTTATATTAATAAATACTTTGAGTGTTGTAAAATAAATAATGATATATTAACTGATATGTACTACAGTGTATACATATATTCACCCCTTTAAAAAGCAGTTCAATAAGAAACACACTTTAACTTTCAATATATCATTTTTTTTAACAATTAACGTATTTAAATTGAACCAGCTTAATTTCTCAACCACGCAAGTGCAAAAAGAATTACATCAATTGTCATACAACACTTATCATTTGCCGATCTGTAAACCTGAACAGTAAACATAGATACACACAAACAAACACAAGATAGAAGGAATATATCACGTTTTCACTAAACATGATATCAAAGGTACAAAAATTACATATCCGAGACATGGGGACAATTTGAGAACAACAAAAGACACTCCTGAATTCTCACAGACATTTTCAAAGGATGGTTGCTGAATCATCAGTAAAAGTACCAATTCACCAACTTACATGCATATAATCATTAAAAAAAGATTAGCATGATGTGTTTTTTTTTTAATTTATATACAAGCACACATTTATACATAATGTTCAGCACAACAATGATAGATCTTTATATTCGCGGTTGACAATCTGTTCTTCCATCAAAGGATTTTAATCCGTATTTCTGTATCATTGTGGCAGCACCTCTCTCAGTGTGTCCAGCACCTTTAGACCATTCATTAATAAACCTGTATCTACTATACACTGCATGTATACATTTACTTTTATAAATTGTAACTTGGATGGAGAGTTGTCTCATTGGCACTCATACCACATCTTCCTATATCTATGTATCATTCGTTATATAGAAAGTTCTGTTAAGTATCTTTACAAAGAAATAGTACTCAACAATCCATTATGTAATGAAATTAAACGAACTAAAGAGAAATATATTTTTTCTTACCTATGAAACAAAAGAAAAACAAAACTCCTCTTTTTGTCCACCACAATGCGTGAGATGTCATCTTCCGGTTAAAAGGTTAAGCAGCTAGCACAGTAATCTACAATCCATAATGTTATATCTCAACACAATAGTTAGTAATTGTTTTGAATTGAAAACAACTATAGTCAGTATCTTCTGTATCTTCCCTTGGATGCAAATATTCTACAGTCGTATAAACGCGGACAAAATTAAAGTCGATGTAATTTAAAAATACAATTACGGTTTAATTAAAAAAAATAATTACAGTTTAATTTAAAAACTATTAACGACAAACGTCCACTTACTTTGTGTTCGTTTTATTTTATCATGAATCGACTTAAAGCAATGTTTTTATATAGGGTTGCGGTACTAAATCCAGAATTGAATCATAGAAAAGGAAACTTCAATAACACCACATGATCGTGAAGTCTTCCAGTTGTTACGAGTTTACTTAATTTATCTGTATTTATAAACATTTACACATGGGAGAACCGTATTCAACGAACCGCAATCTTTTAATCATCGGTTTAAGTATTTTAAATATGTATAGCTGTGAAATGTCTCTATCTAAATGATCATTAACAGGTTTTCCGAACAATAACATTGATCCGTTAAAAAAGAAGTTTCTAAAGTTTGAACCCAAGTTCTAGCGTAAAAGTGTGACTGTGTATTCCCATTTACATTTTGTTTCTTACAAGCATGTTTGCAATTATAAAACTATATTATAAGTCTTAGAGTATAAAAAAATCGGTTCATTTACAATTGCAACAGTTACAATCCACATGCCAGTGGCGGTCAGTTTTTATTGGTGGAGGAAGCTGGAGTGCCCGGAGAGAACCACCGAACTTCGGTAGGAAAACTGATAATTCTAGTCAATTAAAATTGGAGTCGAGCACACCTGCCACGTGCGGGATTAGAACTCGCATCCCCAGTGTTAATATAGTTGGTTGATTACTTTTTTCTCTTGATAAAATGTTATTCAAATATGTACCACAAAAATTCACCAGATAGTACCTGGTGTCACAAAAATAAAAAAAAAAACAGTTAAATAATGTTACATGATTGTAGTCAATCAAAACTATTTCAAAAGCAATTCAACAAAAGTTTAAATATGTTAATTCTATTACATATGAACTAGTATAGTTTAGAATTAATACAATATTTCTGCACGGTTATTTGTTAATTTAATAACAGGATTGTCTGATATAAAATATTTTTCCAATAATAAATGTTCTTTTCTATCATTTACAAGATAAAAAAAAATGAAAGATGATTTTTTTCTAACAATGTTTTAAAATTGTCTAGTATGTTTCTATATAACAATGTTTTGAAATAGTATATTTTTCTAACAATGTTTTAAAATAGTCATATAAAATTGAGTTTAGATGGAGGATCCAACAATACGAATTTTTTTCTTTTATATATACTTAATCCTGCTTTACTCATAATAAAATTTACGAAATAAAAATTTAAACCATTACTTTTCTCAAAAAAAAAAACTCATTAGCATCGTTTGGTCAAAATCAAGCGTGTTTCCAAAGATATCATCAACGTTGCACATAAAATTTATTAAAAAGTCTTTCAGAAAATCAGTGAATTGTGACAGATTGACACAATTAATAAACATATGTTCTAAATCTTCTCTAGATTGTTTACACACCGGAAAAGTGTCATTATCAGACATGTAACATTTCAAAAGTTTAACTTGAGGATGTTCGCTACTCTGTTTCAAAATAACAAGCTTTTTAAAAGACTGTTATAAATTTATAAATTATATAAATACAGAAACCAAAAAAGCAGAAGAAAATGAAGGGTCCGTGTGTTTGTTTTTGAGATATAACCCATTGAAAATTGGCGGGAAATGATTCTCTCTAGATTTTTCATACTTTTATAACATTGTCCGCTTTTCTTTTTTTTAAAACTATGAAAAAAACAAGGATTTTATAAGGTTTTCAAATATGGCTTTTAAAACTATATGAAATAAAATTATGAAAAGAAAAGTAGGGGTTAGTGGACAAAATTATTTAATGGCAAAACATGGTACTTGAAAATTCAGTTCTTTGCATTCACTAGGCAGGTTATGTAAATTTGAAAAGAAATAACAATTCTGTATACTGTTCAATCCAATAAGATTTTGATACAGGAGATTTTTCAACAAGTTTATTTAGAGATCAACAAATGTCCGAGTACTTTGTGGGAACTTGTTTATCTTTAACAGAAAAAGAAAAACAATAGACCATTCGGCCCCCGTCGATTAAGAGAATATATCTATGTTGAAATTAATCTGTTTTCTGCATGTCGGGGGTTCGGAGGCCATATTTTTTATAGAAACAATGTATTTGATAACACTATGAAGAGCCAAATGCTATTACTTTAATTCATATTACGATGCGGGGAAAAGAAAACGTGCAGGAATGGTGTTTCAGCAAAAAAGTTGTTGGGGATGTTTACTACCTGTTGAAATAAAAATCTGAAAATACATGTAGCAAGGTTAGTTTTTTTATCAAAACTATAAAAATAGGAAGATCTGGTATGATTCTCAATGAGACAACTGCACACCAGATACTTAATGACGTAGAAGTTAACAAATCACTATAAATCACCGTACGGCCTCAAGAATGAGCAAAAACCATACCTCATAGTCAGCTATAAAAGACCCCGAAATGACAAATGTAAAACAATTCAAACGATAAGACTAACAGTCTGAATTTTACAAAACATTTCACAAAAACAAATATGATATAACGCAACAAACGACAACCACTAAATTACGGGCTCCTGGCTTGGGAGAGACACATACGGAATGTGACTTGGTTAAACATGCTTAGCTTATTTTCTCCCCAATTCGTGAATCATGTTCTTACAAAGTTTATCAAAGATACACCCTTGACAAGGCTAGGATGAAATTTGAAAAAAAGGCAGGACAGAAGTTTTGAGTAAAAGGCAGGACAGAAGTTTTGAGTAAAAAAAAAAAGGCAGGATGAGCAACTTGGCAAAAAAAAAGGCAGGATGACAAATTATGTATAAAAAGTCAGGATAAACTAATAAAAAACATGCAGGACCGAATAAAGTGAAAAATAAAAAGGCAGGACCGAGATTACAACTACAAAAAAAGCAGGAAACAATTTTTCATTTTACTTTACATTCAAGCTATTAAAAAAGCATTTCGAATTCATTACTCAATTCAATGTCTAACAATGCGTAGAGTTATTTTATCCAATGGCTAAACTTAAATCTGGAAACAGAAGGAGTGCACTCGATTAAATAGATTGATTATATGAAGCATTAAGTGCAACGGCTAATATTTCAATCCTTGTAAAAAAAAGTGGAAATATACAAATGGGACAATTAAAGCTCATAAGTCGAAAAGAGACCGACAAAACCGAAGCGAAACAGAAAATGTCGAAATGAAAATCAACAGAAAATATGACTCTGCATATATATAATGTAAAGTTTTTATTCAGATAAGTATAATTGAAATCGAGATTTCCCTTTTCGAAATTCTAGCCTGTATTGTTGATTTATAGTAACGGAAATAAGGTAGCTGGGGTGTCTAAATGTTCGACGATAGATTTTTCTTAAACTTCTGTAAACGACTTCTGAGTCAATGTCGTTTCAAATTTCAATACAAAATACATTGATATTATCGAAATTAGTTATATCATATGGGTTACATGGGGGAAACGTTGTTTTTCCTTATTGAGGAAACATTTAACATTTACATGTAAATTGGTTAAAATTCAAAGAGAGAAAACAAAAATAAAATTATCTGCCCTTGATTTTATAAGAATATTTCTGAAAATCTTTAATACACTTAACGAAACTTACTTTAAACATATTTTAATCTTTAAATATCAAGTTTAAATGTTTCTGTTGTATATTAAATGATACTTAATCAAATATTTTTTAACCAACAACGTATATCTTTGCAAAGTGCCCAGAATGGATATTCATAAATTAAGACAGCCGATCGCGATTTACATAAAACGAGGTCAGTTATATGTCCAAATACACATTATCAAAACAGATTACATTTCTTCGTCTTTACTATAAACATGTTAGACAATTTTGAACAAGATTTAATTAAAAGTTTTAAATTGCACCCTGTAAACCCTTTTGTTATAAATAGAAATAATAACAATTCAACAACATATAAGATTTAAAATATTTTCATCCGCATATATTGTTACACCTAAAAATAACAATTATACTAAATATGATGTAGAACTAGGTGTTTCGCTACAATCGTACATGTAAGTTCTAATTCAGTAATGATATACCCTGCATGGAATATTACAATAAAGTGTGGTAACTACTAATCATATAATGAAATGATCTTATCTCCTGCTCAAACTGAGTTCAGTCATGATAAAAATCCTTTAAAGGTTATACATATATACTTAAAGTATTATTGCATAATAAATGTGGACTCATTCTAAGACTTCCAAGGGATTGCATTCCAGGTCGGGTAAGAAAGATGTTGAAAATTCAAATCTACTGAAAATCGACATTTTCATTTCAACTGTTGTTTGTCTTTTCACCGTTTTTTTTTATATATTGTTGTCATGATGTCGTCTGCTTTTTAAGGGGTGACACAGGGGTGCCCATTTCCCAAATCCCGATTTTTTTGTAATTTTTTTCTCACTTTCCAATTTGTTTCTTTCTTTTTTCCGGATCCCCGGTTTTTTTTTACACTTTATATATATATATGACATCCCCAAAACGTGGCACCCCGTCATTAGATTTAAGATTTATGATTTTCGATAGCATCTTTGGTATCTCCTTTTTTATCAAAGATACCAGACTCATAGTCTATTAAATGAGAACACGCTTAGACTGGTTCCCTGTCCTTTATCTGTTTGGCTCTGACATATATACAAAGGTATCTGCGATACCCGTATGTTCCAAGGGAGAGGACCAGCCTAGAACACGCTGTTCTTTTTTCCCCTTTTTTCAACAAATACTAGTAGTATAAACAATATCACAGCTTTACGTGTGCACGACATGTACACATTCCATAACAACATCATGGCGTATTTCTGAACATGTGACAAAAGTATTAATGATTAAAAATGTACTTATAAAATGATTTTGTTTACACACTTATGTTTCTGTTTATTTGTTGTACATGCATAAACCCATGATATAATATATATCAACTGGATATAATATTGATGAGTCATGTGATTTACGAAGTTCAACGCTACTATTGTTTACATATATGTACGAAACATGTCGTAAACAAAATTACTTTAAAATTTTCGACCAAATGTTTTAAGTAAACGTTCACGAGAATAAACTCAAAGTACCCCCCCCCCCCCCCCCCCCTTCTCCCCGAACTTGAAACATACTAAAATAACATAAACAAATGAGAAAAATAAAAGAAAAAGATAGTCTCGAATTTGCGTGCTTGTATATGTTTTTTTTTATATTTATGTACGACCATTTAAATTCTTCGGAGATAAACTAGAAGG